GGGTACATTGAAGAAAGTTAGTGATGGGGAATTCTTCTTTGGGTCTTCCCTCCATTTTTTCTGGTTCATCTTCCAGAAGACAACTCCCTAATGAGATTGCCCTCTGCAAGAACTGCTTGCCTGTGACCCTGGGCACTTGTTAATATCCTAGATTTCTAGAGGTCTGCTAGTTTACACTGTGTGAATCAGTCATTTGAATCCTCCTCTCCACTGATCATGGGACAGCTACACATGACATCAGGATAACCACACCTCCACTCCTCACTTGGCCACCTCATTTGCCATTTAATTTTCTTTCTTTCTGGGTACAAAATGTTAATTTTCCTAAACACTGCATTGATAATGGTGTATATGTAGTACCAGATGGTTCTTTGACATCAACGTAATTGGTTTGGTGGTCTTTAATGTCATTTTTCTTTTGTCTTTTTAATGAGAACTTGGTTATGTTTGGGGAAACCAAGTAACTACTGTAGCAACAGTTACATATGATTTCAACAAACGGGAAATACTAGGGAAAAAAATCAGTTATTATACAGACACCAGTTTCAATACTGCCAGCCTGAAAACGACCCATTTTTACCTACCCCCGCTTCCTCTTAGCTTACCAATTCTCCAACCATGCTAATATTTTACCCCATTAATTTTTGTAGTAAACTTTTGATGGCAACTTGTCAAATGTTTTCTGGAAACCTACATTTACTGGTTCTTTATCTACTTTGCTTGTCACTTCTTTAAAGAACACTAATAAATTAGTCCAACGTAATTTCCCGTTCAGAAAACCATGTTGACCCTACCTGTTTGCATTACAATTTTCTAAATGCCTCACTATAACCTCCTTAATAGTAGATTTTCCAGCATTTTCCACTACACTATCAATGCATTGCTAAGGAACATAATCATTGGAGACAAATCCAACTCGGCAATTACCACCCTATCAGTCTGCTCTTGATCATCAGTAAAGTGATGGAAGGCGTCATCAACAGTGCTATCAAGCAGTACCTTCTCAGCAATAGGCTGCTCAGTGATGCTCAGTTTGGGTTCCATCAGGGCCACTCAGCTCCTAACTTCATTACAGCCTTGGTTCAAACATAGACAAAACAGCTGAATTCCAGACATGTGGTGAAAGTGACAGCCCCTGACATCAAGGCTGTGTTGGATTAACTGTGGCATCAAGGAACCCTAGCAAAATTGGAGTCAATAGGAATTGGGGAAAAATCTCTGCTGATGGCAGCCATACCTGGCACATGGGAAGATGGTGATGGTTGTTGGAAATCAGTCATCTCAGCTCCAGGACAGTTCTGCAGGAGTTTCTCAGGGTAGTGTTCTATGCCCAACCAATTTCAGCTGCTTCATAAGTGACTTTCCCTCCATCATAACGTCAGAAGTGGGGATGTTCGCCGATGATTGCACAATGTTCAGCACCATTTGTGACTCCTCAGATACTGAAGCAGTCATGTTCAAATGCAACATGGAGTGGACAATATCCAGGCATAGGCTATCAAGTGGCAAGTGAAATTCATGCCATACAGAAACCAAGCAATGATCATAACCAATAAGAGACAACTTAATCATTGCCACTCGACATTCAATGGTTTTACAGTCACTGAATCCCCTGTTATCAACATCCTGGGGGTTACAATTGACTAGAAATTGAACTGATCTTGCCATAGAAATACAGTGACAATAAGAGCAGGTCAGAAGCTAGGAAAACTGTATTAACTCACCTCTTGACTCCCCAAAGCCTGGCCTTCATCTACAAGGCACAAGTCAGGAATGTGATGGAATACTCCCCACCTGCCTTGATGAATGCAGCTCCAACAACACTCAAGAGGCTTGACATCATCCAAGAGAAAGCAGCCCACTTGAGTGGCACCACAGTCACAAACATCCACTACCTCCTCCACTGACAGTCAGTAGCAGCAGTGTGTGCTCTCTACAAGATGCACACCAGAAATTCACCACAGATCCTCAGACAGCACCTTCCAAATCCATGACCACTTCCATCCAGAAGGACAAGGACAGCAGATACATGGGAACACCACCATCTGCAAGTTCACCTCCAAGACACTCACCATCCTGACTTGGAAATCCGTTGCCGTTCCTTCACTGTCACTGTGTTAAAATTCTGGAATTCCCTCCCTAACAGCATTGTAGGCTAATTTACAGCAGCTGGACTGCAGCAGTTCAAGAAGGCAGCTCACTGCTACCTTCTGAAGGGCAACTAGGAATGGGCAATAAATGCTGGCCAGCGAGCAAGACTCACATCTCATGAATGAATAAAGAAATGGATTCAAATGACTGATTTACACAGCGTAAATTAGCAGACCTTAGAAATATGGGAAATTCAGCTGACCAGCGTGTAGTTTCCTGTTTTCTGTCTCCCTCTTTTCTTGAGCAAAGGAGTCACATTTGCAATCCATTACCTCAGAAAACAAAACTCAAGAATCAAAAGAAAACTTCAGGCATCTCGAACCAAATGTAACCCTTTTGGTTTTCTCACTTCATGAAGGGTATCAATAGTTGGTGAAATTTGGGTAAGTCATATTGCATCTATCACTAGTTATTTTCAGTGCCAAGAAAATTGGGAAATGAATTTTGGATGGAAAATGTAATATCAAACATTTTACATCACCTCCTAAGTTGATTTTCACCCTAACGATATTTAAGAAATCTCCAGTACTTTTCCTTTCTTAACATTTACATCAGATTGAAAATGCACCTCAATGCCATTATTACAGTAAACAGCGCACAAGGCACCTTCTGTTCATGTGTGACAGGTATACGACCAACTTACCACTAAATGTCTTGATTTACAATTTGTTCCTGTACATAAACTGTACTTCATTAAACATTTTATAGGGTTCATAAAAAAAGGATTTGAACATGCAAACTTCCGATACATTTTTTTAATGTTTTGAAAGCAATAAGAATGACCTTGTGGAGGTTCTAACTTACTTTGACCTTTTAGCAATAGTTAATGATGTTATTAGTTTCAGCAATTCATCACAGTATGTGATTACATCTTTCCACCTTCTTCCACTTTTCTGCTTCTCTCAACTAAATGTTCTAGACAATTGGTTCCAGCAACCCTTGACTACCTGACATTCATGTATGTGTTCAAACATTAACAGGGTAGAAATGAGCATTAACAATGCATCTTTTCGATGTGTATACACATATTACTGCACCGAGCTAATATCAAATTCTTCCTTTTGCTCTTTTTATCAAACACATTGGCTTAAGCACAGGTTATGTATTATATATTTTAATACATTGCTGACATCAGTGAATTCAATGTTATATTCCAGAAAGCCAATGATACTGGAAGCAACCTTTGCTCAGTCTTATATTTATTTACAATGTGAAACATTTCAAGCACATTTTTCCTAATTCAACTACTCACAACTGCACTAAGTGTCTCTCTATTTGGGCTGTAGTGAAAATTACTGCACCTCCACCTGCACATAAGCAAACATACTTGATCTAAGATTAACATTCATCACAGACCTAAACATGAAGCTGCATTCTTATGGCTCAGTATTATGCTAGGCTAGCAGATAGCTATTGGCACGCTGGGAAATAGAATGTGATTCCTCATAGCTGTTACCAAAAATAATAGTAATAACTTGCTACAATTGAATATGTGAGTTTGATAATTTAAGGATGAAAGATTCAAACACATTTCATCTCATTTCAGTCCACCATTCTACTGTTTATCTTTAACTTTCAACTGAACACGGGGTTGAGCTGTCAATTTAACATTTCACACAAAGGAGACCCCTGTAACAATGCTATGCACTCTCACCGCTGCACCAGCTGGATTAACACCAAATTTGAGTTTTAAAAAAATCACACGTGCCATGAGGGAAACAGGAGGCTGAATTTTCTTATGTTTTGGGTAATTGTCAATTTTGGGCAATTTCACAGATGGTCTCCCTCAATGAGCCCTGGTGACTGTCTCCACACAATTCTTGGCTTCTCTCATCAAGTATGTACCCTGTTACCACCTAACACCACTCCCAATACAATCATGTGCTCGGCAGCAATGTAAATGCTCACGGCATTCACACCGCTGGAGCCATGCTTGAACCCCAGCTGCACACCATGTGAAATGTCACGAGCCAGGAATTTCCCTTCGCAGTGGATCATTGTACAATTCCAAAGGAGGAGTCTGAGAGAGGGAAGTTCACACCTTACTTTGTCAATAGTGATTCTGAAGTGGATTGAATGTGGAGAAGAGGGCTATCAGAGGAAATCACAGCATCAGAGACTGCCAGCCTGGTATCAAATAGCCAACTGGATCAGTGCCATTTCCGCCACCCAGAAGAACAGACAGCAGTGCATGAAAGTTAATGACTTGTACTCCACAAGAGTAAGTGACACCATTTTTTTTCTGCTACCTCATACTCAAACTTAGTTACTGCACCCACCTCCCACAGAAGCTCATGCTCTACACTGTCACTATTACAAGCAGCATTTCTACTCAATTGCTGTCACTCATGCCATTGCCCCCTAATTACTAACCCTGCCCTCTGTACTTCCTATTCACTCACTCAAGACAGCTCATTAACTTGCTTCCTCCTCCTCCAATATTAACAGCTTTGCCAGCCACTTTCATCTCATTTATTTCAGGAGAACATGGAACACAATAGGGCTAGAATGGCCAAGACTAGTGGTGATATGGCTGATACTCACCTCCTCACCCTGTACAAGGAGACAATACCTGAGCATAAGGAAGAGGATCTATCCTGTTCGTGTTGGGGTGCCAAGATTTCCATGCCATGGCAATCAAGTAAGATTCATCGTGCTGTGTTACTCTCCCGTTACTGCCACAGCGAATGTATTCTTAACATGTTCAAGGGGTGAAATAACTCCACAAAGGCCAATATCCCGTCATCAAGTCACTCTTTATTTACATGTGAAAAGTCCTTGACACTGATCCAGTTTCCTCAGAGCCAGAGTAAACAGAACCTCTGACACTCCTGTTTATATCTGTCAGCCAGGGCTCCCTGATTGGGCCAGATTAACATTCTCAGTCAGGGAACTCATATTCTATGACGCCCACCTGGCTAACCACATTACAATCTTTACACTCAGTATCCAGCTGTCCTCTAAGTGTGGCATATCTTCCTTAGTCAGCTGTGGAGATGTGGCAATGATGCTGTCACCAAAATGTGTTCCTGACTTTAATCTAGCAAACGTACCCATTGAGATGTCCATATCTGAGCTGGGGCAGGGTGCAGGAGACAGCCTTCCCACTGCACCCTCTGACTGATGGACAGTTTCCTCAGAGGTGGAGTCTTGAGGGGCTAGTCTCCTAATGATGGTGACCATGTAGACGGTGCCTGCAGAAAACAAAAGAGTGAATGTGTTGTGAAATAGGGATAGATGCTTGGGCAGGTTAAGACCACATTCATGGTGACTATAGTGGGAGAGCAGTGCAGCATGAGACAATAAATCTTATGTGGTTGCCATAATATAGACGCCTTGGCAACTTCACATGAGCAGTCACAGATCAAAGACTTCCTCCTCCTGTGGGTGAGAAGAAGAATATTGGGCACCTTGTCAACTGTCTTCATGCTCTCCAACCTACTGTGGGGTTCTTTGCCTCCTGCAATGAGACAAAGGGAGGAACTGAGTGATACAAAAGTGGCTGGCACAGCTGTTAGTGCTGGTACAGGAGGAAGATAGCTGATGAGCTGGCCAAGTGAGTGAGCAGAACGTTGCAGGCTAGTAGTCTTGGGGATTGGAAGGGTGAGAAGACGTGAGGGAAGATGCTGCATGCAATCGTGAGAGCAGTAGACCGTGAATTTTAGTGGAAGGTGGGTGCAGTAGCAGAGTTAGAGGGTGTGAGGTAGCAAAAAGAAAATCAGAGTACAGAAGATCATGAACCATCTTGTGGCATTGCTGGGCATTCCTCCAGATTGTGGACCTGCACTGACCCAGTGATAACTAAAGGTGGTCTGGCACGATTCACTGGTGTGATCTCCTCTAGTGGTTCTGAGGAAAAAGGACAGTTCTTCTCTCCACCATCCTGTCCACCAGGACCTCCACACCTGTGCCAGTAAATCGGAGTGTCAACATGCCTTTGTTTGCCATTTCTGGGACGGCTGTTCCAAAACTGCAACTGTGAAGGGTAGCTCCTTGGCTGGCAGCAAATAATCTGGAGTATAGCTGGGGTTTGAAGATGGCACTGGTGGTGGGCATGCCAGTTAGTCGCAGCTCTGGCAGTACTTCCACTGCAGATGAGTACAGCTCCATAGATTAGGGGTGCTTACATACTGAGATGAGCAGTGTAAAACTGCATGAGAAAACTTGTTCAGTTTCAGGGAGAGAAATCCCCCAAAGTACTCCACAAAATTGCCACTTAGCTGATTTTAATTAAAATTCAGTACCTCGGATTTTCAAGTGCTGTCTAATTTCTCACCAGTTTCTGGGAGAATACTAACCTGTATACAAATGAGGTAAGATTAGGTTATAAAAATATGTTGATATATGCGAGTTGGCAGCTCACCTATGATATTTTCATCTAGTCATTCTAACCTTATTCACTTTTCTTTAGACCACGGATCTCACTTTTTTGCATTCTCACGATATTTCCCCAACTTTCTCACCATTGACTACATTGTTTAGAGACTGGGAACATTCCACCCACGCTGTCTGCAGTTAGCTTAGAAGTTAGAAACTGTCGATAATTGAAACTGTACAGTTTGTCTATGCATAATAACACCTACATCTTTCTTGACAAAATAATTTTCAACCGTATTCCTAAAGCCTAACCTGCAGTGTCTGAGTGAAAGCCAGCCCTTACAACTTTCTATTTCAAAAACAACAATCAGTTAGGCCCCTGCTTTATCTCCTTGTTTGAAAATCATTGTGGAAGTCTGGAAACCTGTGCAGACTGCGTCAGATTATCTTTAATTTCAAAGCTGTTTGAACTGCTGTTAAGACATTTTGCTTCAAAAGCCCAATTATTTCCCATCTTGTTAGTGGAAAAAATGTCCAAATCACCTTCAAAGTGCAGTCACCTATTATGGCATTTAATTTGCATATAGAAAAGTGCTGGGAACAGCAATGAGACAAAAAAGAACAAGGAAAAAGGGGCAGGCCTTTTAGCCTCACTAGCCAGCTCTGCTGTTAATCCTGTTGGCTGATCTACAACCTAACTCCATTTACCCGCTTAGCCCCACTTTATATGGTCTTCTGGGTAACAAAAATCTATCATTCGCAGACTTTAAGTTAGAATTGATCTTGCATCTCTTGACACTTTCAGAAAACACCTTAAGATATTTATCACTCTATGGTGTGCATAGAGAATTCCAAATTTCCACCATCCTTTGAGAAAGATCAATAACTTTTTTTTCTAAGTAACATTAGTTGAGGAATGTTGGCCAGGATACCTGGTAAATGCATTCATCCACTTCAAATTGTGCCATAGATTTTCTTTTTATGCGGTTACCTGAGGGAGAAAATTAGTTTAATATTAAACCCAAAAGTCCACTACTCTTACAAATTGAAATTCTGCAGTTTGCATAGTTATGAATCATGACAGGTCCAAATATTTACTTTAACCTTTAGAATAACTTCTGTGACTAGACAGGGTGGATGCTGGGAGGATGGCGGATATGTCACATCACCTGCAAGGGTCACAGTCTGAGGATTTGGGGTAGATCATTTAGGATAGAGATGAGGAGACATTTCTAAAAAAAAATGGGTGGCACGGTGGCTCAGGGGTTAGCACTGCTGCCTCACAGCATCAGGGACCCAGGTTCGATTCCACCCTCGGGTGACTGTCTGTGTGGAGTTTGCACATTCTCCCCGTGTCTGTGTGGGTTTCCACCGGGTGCTCTGGTTTCCTGCCACGGTCCAAAGATGTGTACGGTAGGTGGATTGGTCATGCTAAATTGCCCGTAGTGTGCAGGGATGTTTAGGTTAGGTGGGTTAGACATGGGAAATGCAGGGATAGGGGAATGGGTGTGGGTGGGATGCTCTTCGGAGGGGTGGTGTGGACTTGTTGGGCTGAATGGCCTGTTTCCACACTGTAGGGACTCTATGACTAATGGTGGACACAGAAACCACACAACCATAAGACTCAGGAGCAGAAGTATGGCTTTCAGCCCAATGATTCTGCTCTGCACTCAATGAAACCATGGCAGATCTGATAATCCTCAAATCCATTTTCCTGCCTTTTCCCTATAACATTTGATTCCCTTACTGATTAAAAGTCTGTCTATCTCATCCTTAAATATATTTGACAACCTAGCCTTTACAGCCCTCTGTGGTAAAGGTTCACTACCCTCTCAGAGAAGAAATTCCTCTCATCACTGTCTTAAATGTGTTAGCCATTATTCTGAGATTATGCCCGCTAGTTCTAGACTCTCAAACAAGAGGAAGCAGCCTCTCTGCATCCACCTTACCAAGGCCTATAAGAATCTTGTGGTTGGTTGGCTCGCCGAGCTGGTTCATTGTTGTTCCGCAGACGTTTCATTACCCTGCTGGGGTGCAGCTTCCAATGAAGTGCCGTTGTGTTTTCCCGCCTGGTTTTTAAACTCTGGAGTCCGTTGAGCTGGATTACCTCACTTCCAGTTTTCCTTCGCAATGGAGTGTATATGGGGTCAAGTTCTATGTGTTTGTTGATGGCTTTCTTCGTGGAGTACCAGGTTTCTAGGAACTCCTGTGCCTGTCTCTGCTTTGCTTGTCCCAGGATCTTGGTGTTATCCCAATTGAATTGGTGGTTCTCCTTATCCATGTGGATAGAGTTAAGTGAGTATTGGTCGTGTCTTTTTGCAGCCAGTTGGTGTTCGTGTACCCTTGTTGTTAATTTCCTTCCTGTTTGTCCAATGTAGTGTTTGTCACAGTCTCTGCAGGGAATCTTGTATATGACATTCGTCCTGTCCATAATGGGGAGTGGGTCTTTGGTTCGGGTGAGCAGTTGTCGTAGGATTGATGTGGGTTTGTGTGCAACTCTGATGTCCAGTGGTCCTAGGAGTGTTGTGGTTAGTTCCAATGTGTTCCTGATGTAAGGTAGCGTGATGAGTGTGTCGGGGCATGTAGTATCTTCCTGGTGTCGTTCGTGTAATAGGCATCTTCTGACCCAGTTTTTTGGATATCCATTGTTCTTGAATATCTGGAAGAGGTATTCTTCTTCTTCTCGGCGTAGTTCTGTGCAGCTGGAGTGTGTTGTTGCCTGTTTAAATAATGTTCGCACGCAGCTTCGTTTGTGTGTGTTAGGATGGTTACTGTTGAAGTTCAGTACTTGATCAGTGTGTGTGGCTTTTCTGTGTACTTTCGTTCGGAATTTCCCATTTGTCCTGTGCTCTACCATGACGTCCAGGAATGGGAGCTGTTTGTTCTTCTCCTCTCTGGTGAATTTGATTCCGGTGAGGGTGTTGTTTATTAGTTTGTGTGTGTCCTCTAGTTTGGTCCGTTTAATGATGACAAAGGAGTCGTCCAGGTAGCGTATCCATAGTTTTGGTTGGATTAGCGGAAGGGCCATACTTTCCAGTCTTTGCATCACCGCCTCGGCTATTAGTCCGGAGATAGGTGATCCCATGGGTGTCCCGTTGATCTGTTCATATGTTTGGCCATTGAAAGTGAAGTGGGTGGTGAGGCATAGGTCCAGTAGCTTCAGCATGTTGTCTGTGGAAATTATTTCACTGGGGTCTTGTTCTAGTAGTGCTGTCATTGTTTCCCTTGCTAGTGGTATGTCTATTGATGTGAATAGGGCAGTGACGTCAAACGAAACCATGGTCTCATCGTCATCTATCCTTATGTCTTTGATGGAATTGAGGAATTCTTGGGCTGAGTGGACTGAGTGGGGTGACTTGGTGACGTCACTGCCCTATTCACATCAATGGACATACCACTAGTAAGGAAAAAAAAATGACAGCACTACTCTTAAAACCCAGGCAGGAAAACACAATGGCGCTTCATTTGAGGCTGCACTGATGATGTTACCCAGCAGGGTAATGAAACAGCTGCAGAACAACAACAAACCAGCTCGGCAAGTCAACCAACCGCAACATCCACAACCCGAGCTACATATCTACTCCAAAACCATAAGAATCTTATATATTTCAGTAAGGTCTCTTCTCATTCTTCTAAACTCCAATAAGTACAGGTCCAAACTACTCAATGTTTCTCATAAAACATTCCTTCCTACCTGGTATCGGCCTAGTGAACCTTCTTTGGACGGCCTCTGATGCAAGTGTACCTTTCCTTAGATAAGAGGCCCAAAATTGTTCACAGTATTCCAGCTGCAGCCTGAGTAGTGCCTTGTCTTGTTTTAACAAGACTTCCCTATTTTCATACTCTATTTCTTTTGAAATAAAAGGCCAACATTCCATTTGCCTTCCTATCTGCCAGACTTGGGTGTTGGCTATTTTTTATTATGCACGAGGATGCCCAAATCTCATTGTGCTGCAGCTTTCTGCATTCTTTTTCCATTTACATAATATTCTACTCCTCTATTCTACCTGCCAAAGAGCATAATTTCACATTTCCCCACATTATTTTCCAAGTTCTAATCCACTTTTTAACTAGTCCAAATATCTCTGTAGAATGTCATCCTCAGCACTTGCCTTCCTAACTATTTCTGTGTCATCTCCAGACTTGACTATCGTACATTCACTTCCCTCATCCAAGTCATTAATATATATTGTGAATAATCGTAGTCCCTGTGGCACACCATTAGTTACAGTTTGTTATCCTGAAATCGAACCCCTTATTGCAACTCTATATTAGTTAGCCAGTCCTCTATCCATGCTGATATACTAGCATGGATGGAAGATTCGCAATCAATCTGAATGCATTAACAAGTAATTTGCGGTTTCTTTTAGAATGTCTTTGACTTGGGTGTGTAACTGATATGTGTAGCTGAATTATTTTCTTGAGCAAAACTGTTTAAAATCAGAATGTATATAATGGCATTAATTATGACAATTAGTAACTATGTGTGAATTCAATTTGCTACAATATCATAGAGTCATCAAGGTCTACAGCATTGAAAAAGGCCTTACAGCCCATCAAGTCTGTGCCAGTCAAAAGCAACGACTTAACTTCTAATTCCATTTTTCTGCACTTGGCCCATAGCCTTGTATGCTTTGGTATTACAAGTATATATCTAAATATTTTTGAAAGTTAAGAGGGTGGAGCCTGTTTCCACCTCCCTTTCAGGGAGCGCACCGCAGATCGTCATGTTCCAACACAGGGGTAACAAGCCAAACAAAATCAACCTCACTATTAAAATGCAATGAAATTAAAACATTCAGTGACCCTCAAAACTGTTCAAATGTTCCTACCTAGACTTTATAAATAACAGATCTTGGACACCTAGTCTATACTGAAACAAAATAAAAATTAAGAATGTAATTTTTGCACAGCACAGATAAAATACAAGGCAATCTAATTAATATCTCCAATCTAAGCCCAATCTTCTTTAATTATAAAGCCCCCACTCATGTGCTAATAGACAGACAGATAGACACAGTTAAGGGATAAATTACAAAACAAAATTGTAATGTGGTTATTCGATAATTGTTTCAACAATGTTCAAAAACCAGGCCTTCATGAAATCCTTTGACATTAGATTGTATTGCAGGCATTTAGCATTGTGTACCTTGTGTGAATTCTGAAATCACTGGTCAATGCAAACAAGTTTCACAGACTCTGGAGACTTTTATTTATTTCTGACCGGCTAGGATTATTTTCTGAGAACTTTCAACAAGTAAATAACTGGAGAAGAACTAGAGGGAGCAAAAATCAAACCAACCCCAGTCCAGAAGCTTCTAAAACAAAACTGCGTCCTACCCAGTCAGCACCAGTTTTCTCTTTTTTCCCTTTTCTTCAACATTCTCTGTGGTTGGCTGGGCAGCATTGGTCCTACCTTCATTGACAAATTCAACATCCAACGAGGTTCCTGTCCCTGAGCATAACAACATCTCATTCCAGAACATCTACAGTGTCCTTAGAACAGAAATTAACCCTCATTTCCTTTCCAAGCCAGTTTCCAACCCCAAACTTCTGTCTTTTGTTTTCTTCATTTTTAAATAAAAAACAAGCTGCTATTCAAAGCTCAAAAGTCAATTTGCAACTTCACAGTTCCAAACTAAAAATGAAAAAAAGGTAATGACGGACTCAACAATAACAAGTTGCTGTCTAGGTTTTGCCAATATCTTCAATGAGTTTTGATGAATGATTTACATTGGAAACATCAACCATTCTTTCTGTTTTTTCAAACATTGACCCCATCTGCCATATGTTTGCAATATTTCCTGCAGAGCAGGTTGATACAGGATCTAGAAGCTTCTTTATTTCTCTTATCTAAGTAGCCCTTCCTGGTTTTAGCTTAGATAATGAGTGTGGACAGATTGTCCAAATATGGAATCAGAGTGACTGCTAACTTCTCTATGTGAAGGGTTAACCTGGAAAATAAACCAAGAAGATTGTCAGGTTGAAACA